TATCAAAACGTAGATCTCTAAAACTGAATGACGACAAAGTGGAATCACCCAAAAAAAAAAAAAAACAAGAAAAGAAACTGAAAAAAAATAATGTTATTTTTGCCTAATTAAGGAAATATTATTTTAGCGAAATTAATTGCATGTATATAATATCGAAAGTTAGATTGAAGAATGAAATGTCTCTAATGTTTCTAAAACTGATTTTTGCAGTTCTAAGAAGATTGAAGGAAAGAAACGATTAAAATTAGACTTCAAAAAATCGAAGCGAAAGATGATCGGAAATACCTTATCAAAACATATTGACAACCTCCAGGTGAACTTACTCAGAGATCGCTTACGAGTGAGTGGTCTGTCTCTTAACGAAATGCTATACCTCCATGGTTCGAACAACATAAATCGACCACCCGAACATAAAGCTTTGAAAGCGAAGACACATGTTTCTGCGAAGAAGCTGTTTGACACCTGTGCAGTGGTTTCAAACAGAGACGATCTACGGCAAAGTAAATGTGGCGCGGAGATTGACGCCCACGATTATGTTATGCGTTCGAACATGGCGCCAACGCAAGGTTTCACAGACGACGTGGGAAATCGGACCGATTTTATGGCAGTTCATCAAACGCGATTTTTAGACATTGCAAGATGCATTCAAAATAAATACAGTTCCTGTCATGAGAGTGCCAAACGAGAATTATCAGATCTCGGTGATGCGAACATGTGGATTGTTAAACATGGCGGCATTAATCCTAAATCTTTTGATCAGATTGCAAAGTTTGCCAGATACAACGCCATAGACCTGGTTCTATCTTATCCAAACATGAAGTATCTTAGAACAACTATTTCAAGGTAAAAAGTATTCTTCTGTCTTTACACCAACTGGGCCACTGGGCTTCGTTGGGAGTTCAAATTCCAATAATGCAACTTGATCTACCACACTCCTTTGCGCAAGTGTATTTGAACAACACTAGTTCTCGAATATTACAAATAACAGAGAACAATATGACACGCCCTCATCTTAAGCAAGACGGGATCTACAAAAGATTCTTATACTGTATATAGAAAAAATATTACCACCTTCTTGAATAATTTAGTTAAGAATTATGTAAGCTCCGTCTTCTTGAATAATTTAGTTACAAATGTTAAATAAAAGCTCAAACTTTTTTTTTTAAATTCATTCAGCTTCTGGGGTTTCAACATCGATGTCTCTTCAAATGGAATATTCCTGTTTACTGTCGCGGTGCCATTATGCAAGAAAATATCGCTGTATGGATTCCAGACTTCGTCTATGAAAAATAGCTCTAAAGTCAACCCATACTTCATGGACAGTCCTCTGCAAGAGTTTAATCAGAAAAACGTACTGAAACGAGAACTGAAACAATTAGAAAGTTTGAATGCAACACGTACTCTAAGACTCGTATCCCTGCCATGCTCTTTATAAATGTGAATTTTCTTTTCTTTTGCTACACAG